AGTGTGACATCAGCGGTCATGGAGAGTCTCCATCCAGCTGGATCACTGTCACAGGTGACACACTCACCTGTCTGTGTTTCTGCAGCTTTCAACATTCACAATGTGACGACAACTTAATGACTGTGTTTGCTTTATTTTAGACAAACTCACCACCACACCTCCACCTACATCCACACCTCTTCTTCTTGCACTGTCATGTGTTGGAGCAGTCTGTTTTGTGGCTCTGCTGGTGAGAACATGTGTTCACAGGAAACCTGAAGGTGAGACACAGACTTCTGGATTTTATAAATTCATTCATTTTAAATTGTGTTTGGTTTCGATGGACATGTTAACATTTACACACATTTGAAGGTTGAACATTTCAGCTTCACTAAAAATTGTTTTAAAACTTCCAAACTTTGATGTCAAGCCTTTTATTTCAGTAATAACCTACATGTCCTGTTAAAACTTTGTTTCTGATTTGAAACACAAATATAACTGACTCATGTTGAGGTTCACAATAGTTTAAACTCCTGTTATTTTTTTTTCTTGGATAACAGAGTCTATAACATGAGCGAGCCCAGTGTCTGCTCCATCAGTGAAAGATGGATGTAGGCACTGTGACGCTGCTTGGTAATATAATATGATATAATATTTGAGGACATTTCCTTTGGCCTGGGTTTCAGGATGATGGGTAGAATTAGATTTATGTTTATGAGCACTATTTCTTACTGTTATCATGTGATGGATGGTTTAAATTCAGTTATAAAATAGAAAAAATATATTAAAAATGTTTAATTAAGCATTTTACTAATCTGCTGCCAGAATTTACCCCTGAAAGAGTTTAAATTAATACTTCTGTTTACACACTTAGTGATAGACTGTCTCCAGTGTTCATTTAGATTTCAAAGATCAAAACCAAATGTAACCATGAATGTTTAACTCTGTACTTACTGAGTGTTGTTCACTGTGAGCTGGACTGTGTGTTTGTGGTCTGTGGTTAACTGAAGCTAACAGCTCTGCAGTCGTCCAGCATCCTGTTTCTGATAGAAAGGAAACAAACGGTAAACTCTGCACACAGACCACTAGTCTACAGATAAAACTCTAATACTTACCAGTCATATGTTGAATTGTATTATATACAGTATTTGCTTCTCTTTTTTTTTTTTTAATTCCCTTTGATTCATATTCAATAATCACATCACATTTCAAATTTAATCCAACATTATTCTAAGTTAATAATTAGGTAGTTTCTGTGATATCCTGACATGTTAATCAGAAACATTCATCCTGCTGATAAAAGCTCAGTCACTTCCTCCTGTATCAGGTCTGATTCATTCAGTGAATCTAAATTCCACTTTTTGAACATTATCTGTCAGTATACGACGAGCTGTTATTCCTGCACTGATGTCCTCTGTGTGTGTTTGTTGTGCAGACAGTGATCCAGCTACAGTTTACTCAGCAGTGAGAACTGAAGACGTCACTTGTGGAAAAATCCTCATCAAAGACAAGAAGAAATCAAATCTGAGAGGTACAGCTGCTCTTCTTCTGTCTCTGTCATGGTTCACTCAGGCTTCGCTTTAAGCTACATGCTAATACTAACATGCTAAGTTATTAGCATTCTCCTTCAATCTTACGAACACATTTGCCTTCAACATACAATTACTGACCAAATGTTTGTGTCAAACACTTATTATTTATTTATTGAACACATAAGTAGCTCCTAGATAATGAAACTCAAGCACCACCATCAGGACAAACCTATAATTTAGGATAAATGTATCTTTAAAAGTTTGCATTTAAATCTTTTCAAAATTACTGACAACATTAATGACTACAAGTGGATGAACCCTATTGGGTTTTGGTGATGACATGACCTTTTTTCTAGCACTGCCATTAGGTCAAACTTTCAATTTTAGATGTAATGTATCTTCAAAATCTTTAATCCATGTTTTTTTTTTTTATTTTATGTGCCCATCCATGTCCTTTAGAATGAATCCTGTTTTCTTGTGACCCAGGACCCTTTGTTGTGTCACCACAACATCACTTTCACTCACCCCTCCTCTTTTCTTATCCAGACTTGAGATCGGCAATGGCAGAGTTTTTTTGTTTTTGTTTTAGGTGTGTGTTTGTGGTGAAATTCAACCATTTGTGAAACAGAAAATTGTGAAAACATCAGTAAAATAGTCAGAATATGTAACAGTTCTTGTCCAACAATTAAGGTTTTTTTTGTACACATCCTCTGTTGTGCAGAAAATCGTCCTCGACTCTGTTTGTCCATTGTGCTGAACAGCAGGACATTTTTCCTTTTCTTGAGCCAATAGGAGACTAGAGTTGCTTTTTCAGTGAAGGCAAACGCTGAAGATGTTACCTTCCTGCTCTTGACAGCAAGAAGTTCAGAAGGAAGCTCAGGCTTGTTCTTTCTCACTATCCCTAACATGGTAAAGTTCCTTTTGAGCAATTCCTCATCCAAGGCATGATACGTGAAAAAATTATTGCATGTGAAATTATGCACACACAGTCCTTCAGCCAAATCAACATCACTCTTTTGGCCAGGTCTTTCCAACTGTCCCCATATACACACCTCCCCTCTAAATTTGTCATCCAAAGGACAGTATTTTTAATCGATGGTGTCATAAAGATCTCAAATGATGACTTGAGGTCCTCAACATGGCTGACTGCATACCTGGTGGGGCCTGGAACCATTTTGATAATATTAGAAGCACTAAGTCTCCACTGTTGTTTAAAGTTGGGAAAGGGACCATATTATCTTTACATTTTTGAAAGGCATTGTGTCTGCTGGTGACTGAGACAACAGGAGGGCTAACACTCTCATTCTCATTAGATTAGAATTCACAATCCTCTGTCTCTGACACATTCTCATCTATGTGACTTTCACCGTCAAAGAGTTGTGCCAAAACCTGATTGACAGTGAAGCTTTTTCAGACAGCACACATATTACAGAGTACACAATACAGCATGAGTAGTAATTTAGATAGAGGGATGTCATGGAAGCTTTTATAAGTTTGCTACTCCCTAATTTTGCACGAGCTGTCAACTGTCAATGTCCTTGCAGGAAATTCCCTCCCACCACATGTGAAATATCAGTTCTAATCAGCAGGGTCAAAATGACCCCGAGGATGATAGGAGGGTTTCTCACTATGATTTGTCCAATTTATTTTATATTGATTAGGGAAGACCATGGTGGGTTGTCACATTGTTACAGATAAACTAGAGGGCACTTGAATCAGTTTCTCACTAGCAAGCTAAAGACATAGAGCTAGATTAAGTAGCAGCTCTTATGTAGCTACATTACAATATTTATCAAGAGGTCAGTTGGGGGTGTTTATGTCACTGGTCCTGGGTTTGGTTGTGACACGTGTCACAACAGAGCACCTGAGGGTGAAAAATGTTTTTGCAGCTAGGGTTGTAAAGACTGCGATATTTTTCATTTTTGTTAGCAGAATAGTTTGTGTTGGTCCTTGAAGTATGGCTTCAGTGTGTGTCTGCAAAAACTGATCTCACAAACGGTGTAGCCATGGCAATACACTGGAGGAGCTCATTACAGGGTTGCTGGATAAAGACTAGCAACCTTTAAATTGAGATCACAGAAACTTTCCCCACCTGGAGGATTGAGCGTGTATCAAGACTTTATGGAGAACAGTTCAGACTCAGTTTGATATTGATGTAGTTCAGTTTGTTCTCACATGAGACTTCCTCACTATTACTCAGGTTAGCAAATCTCACACAAAATGACTGTTGAATGTCATTTAAAATGTGTTGGGAACCTCTATCCTTTTTAAATAACATCAATGATTCATCACTACAAAATACAGTCACGATTGTGGAATCTGTTCTCAGTTGTTTTCATGACTTTAATAAAGGCAACATTATTAAAGTCTCTAAATTCCTTCGTTTCAGTGCACATAAAAAATAATTCACGATAATTATCGCTGCTTCAAATTCATGGTTTAAAGAAACGGTGTATTAGATGGTCAAAGGAGCTTGCAAAGAATTAGTATTAGATGGTGTTTATTTCTAAACTTGTCTCTAACTTAAAAGAAAAAAATATGAAAAATATTTTTTACTGAAACATAATTAATAGTTATTGGATGACTAACCCTGTCATGTAGTCAAAAACACAGTGTGTATTCATGTGGTGATGAAGGATTTGTCTGGTGCAATTTCAGAACAATAAACCAGCTCAATGTCCAAATGTGGCTCATCTCCCCACACAAGTTATCAGCAGGATTATTGAAATTTATTTGTTGATATGAGAGACTAAACAAAGCAAATGTCTTCTAGTGTAAAATATCATTCTGACTCTTCTGAAGTTCTGCATGTGAAACCACAGCAGCTCCTTCCTGTTGTTCACTTCTGCTCAGGCTAATAAAAGTGTTCATGCCATGTGATCATGTGTGCTTTGTGGTCTGTGGGGAAGTTTGTCAGTTCTAATTTAAAAGAGATGGCAGCTTTGTGGTCATCCACTTGTCTTTGTCTGGTTCCTCACCCAGGAACAATTTGCCATGGGAGACCCTACCAACAAAGTCTCCTGACAACACAGAAACCCCACAGAACATACAAACCCCTCCACAACAATAAGAAAGTAATTTACAGAAGGTTGGCATATTTTGTGAAAGTTGAGATTTGTGCGGTATTGAACAGCGGCCAACACTGTCCAAAACTGGTGCCCGATAAGCAAGCAAATAATGCAGAAAATAGACTGTTGATTTAAAAACTGGTTTGCATTTGCTGTTTCAGCTGTTTGGTGGATGTTGAAATGGTTTTGTGAGCTTAGTTGAGATTTTGACATTTCTGTGGATACCACATGTCTCTATATTTAAATAACAGATCGGGCGGTACATCTCTTTAACCCAGATGTTTTCCATTTCAACCCAGCAACCGGGAGCATTGGGATTAAAGAGACTAACAGTTTATTGCTTATTTGCTTTGTGTAGCACGAATGACCATAATGGGTGTTTGCTGCAGTAAAACAGTTAAAAATCCAGAATTTCTACTTGTGCTTGTTTGTAGGAGCAGATCAAACGAGTTAAGATTTATAAATCCTAACTATAAATTCTAATTATAACCTTTTGTTCTTCACAATTGCAGGAAATCAAAACAGGTATCACTTTAGCCAGTACCTAATTTTATAAATTCTGCATTTAGCTGTGCAGTCTCTAATACCAATGAAATGCAGCAAGATGCTCATTTTATGTGTTCCCTTATTTCTTCACTTTCTCCTGACAAAAAACAAGGAACAAATTAAGGAGGGGTACCTCTCGATTGGCAGACAAGGGTGGTGCTTTTCATCTTCAAGAAGGGGGATCAGAGGGTGTGCTCAAACTAGAGGGGGATCACACTCCTCAGTCTCCACCTGGAAAGTCTATGCCTACATCCTGAGATGAGAGTCCGTCTGTTAGTCAAACCTCGGAAACAGAATGGAAAAATGCAGTTTTGTCCCAGGCGTGGAAGACTGGACCAGCTCTTTACACTCTCGAGGATATTTGAGGGGCATGGGAGTTTGCCCAACCAGTCTACATTTATTTTGTGAAGAAGGTATTTGACCATGTCCGATCTTGGGGGTCCTGTGGATGTGCTTTGGGAGTATGCAGTGTCTAACCCACTGATGGACTCCAGGGCTACTTTTTTTTTTTTTTTTTTTTTTTTATTGCTTCTGTTCAAAATTTTTATGGACAGAATTTCTAGGCATAGGCAAGTGGCATAGCTATCTCTGCTCTTTGCAGATGATGTGGTTCTGTTGGCTTCATCAGGCTTCATCAGGTGGTAGGCCATGGTCCTAAGCTGGAAAATGATGTGCCCACTCCAGGTCAGGGATGAGTTCCTGCCCCGAGTGGAGGGATTTATGTATCTCAGGGTCTAGTTCACGGCCGAGGGGAACAGGGTGTGGGATCGACAGATGGATAGGTGCTGCGGCTGCAGTGATGCGGATGCTGTACCAGTCTGCCTTGGTGAAAAGAGAGACTCATCTCAAATACTTGGTCCAGTTTTACTCCTCATTTAAAAGGCATGTACACTTGGGTAGTTCACAGGGAAGGATCTCTATAAATAGCAATGGCGGCAAGGGCAGCACCTAGCAGACCACTTTTCAAGTCGCTAGAAATCCAAGCATTTGCACACACTTCAAGCTTGTCAGAAGTTGCTAAAGTTATATCCTAACATTGAGAAAGGCAACACTGGGCTGCTAAAGTAGAGCAATGCAGCCCAAAGCAGCTGGTGTAAAGCACTCCTTACAAACACTTTTCCCAGTGATGATGGAAGAGTATAGAAAGTAGAGCTCAGGGTCACCAAGCAAGGCTGAGACAAAAGGTTCCTGAGGTCTGTCTTGTTTATGCCTTGAAAAGCAAAGAGCAGTAGAACCATATGTGTCGTAGACATTCTAGTAGCTTGATGTTGTCTGCTATTTACCAGCAGAAGGCTTAGCTTTGCTAACTGCTTAACAGTATGCCCAGGCGCGTTAGGGGTTTTATGACCCCACCAATAATGAGATCCAGCCAATATAACCCCCCAATAAAATTAATTATGGTGCATAAATAGTTTGTTGATTTTCTTTAATCATTTCAATTACTGCCAGCAAAATGTTTAATCATCTATTCATGTAAACTGCTTTTCCCTGACAGTCACTTCTCACCGCTATGAGCTGCTTCAGCAATACCGAAAAAACAGCAATATGGTATATCGATGATACTGAAGTTTCGCCTATCCCATTCTTCTTATGAAGTGGTGTTGGAATTACCAAGAAATGCATTCCTCCCCATGCACTGCTGGCTCTGTTGTGCTGGCTCTGGGTCCATTGTGTAACTGACGCCACCAACATTACCAGGACGCCTACATTAGAGCCTCTTATTGCGTGTTTTGTTTGGGTTTCCAGCAATCAGAATCAGAGAAACTGTATTCATCCCAGATGGAAATTGAGTAAAATAAAAAAAGGGGGCCACAAGTCATACTCAAACCGGCCACTCTCAGCCATGCAATATATGATAGATGCCCATCCACCCGACTGTGGTGCAGGTCACCAAACTGGAGAAGGCATAGAGAGGGGATAGCCTAACTAACATATGAAACCAGAAATGACCGCTGTGTATTCTATGTATTCCGTTACTCCCCAACACTGTTTGTAGGCTTGTTGTTTACAAAAAGATGTAGTCTATGACGGCAACGGTAGGTTGAGGATTAACATAAACATCTGGTTAGCTGTTCTTTAGCTTATCTGCAAAAAATGTAAATGTAAAATAATTGCAATGTAAGGAAAAGGATTTTTTTTTTTTTTTTCCCTATTTGTTGACGTCTGCCACCATAAATCGTTGACGATAGCATTTAGCAATGACGTTAACAGTGTGCCGTATATGTGGGGAAGGGGCTTACTGATGATGCAGTTGGGTGGAGGGGGGTTGGCAGCGTGCTGTGCTGTGTGCATGTAGGGAGTGGGTTAGTATATGCAATCCAATCATTTAAGATATAGTCATTTCAGAGAGTGGCAAGTTTTCTTGCCATGTTTACCACAGGGACTTGAGCCCCATGTCAGGAACCAAACACAGATGACAGGGACAGAGAAGGATTTGATGTTTCAGACATCATCTGCACAAAGCCTGCACAACCTGATCCTGAGTTTATAGCAGTGCAGAAGCAAGCTAAATGTGTGTTATCTTTAAAAGAAAAAAAAAAGTGCCACTTTACAAGGGGTTCTGTGTTTTTACTGGTCCAAATTTATTCAAATCAGTCAACATTTGCAAGCAAGTGTGAGCCTGCCTTTGTGAGTGCAGGCTTTAGAAATTGGAAAAAGGCTCTCTTCAGGTTCTAGGGACATGCAGAAAATCAGGTACACATCCATGCCATGAACACCTGTGCTCAAAAAGGAAACACTGTAGCTTCACAGCTACAAGTAGAGTTTCAATCAGAATGCAAAGATCGAGACCAAGAGGTCTCATTCCCCACTGTCCTTTAACCACCATGCTAGATGCACAGACTCATGTTAGTGTGAAGTTGATGAGCTTCTCACTGCAGTGTGTTTGTCTAATAATAGTGTTCATGCTGTGAGAACATGTTTGCTTTGAGCTCTGTGGTGAAGAGTGTCAGTGTGCATTTCTCAGAAACTCCACAGTTCTTTGTGGTGACTCAGTGTTTAACAGCAGAGGTGTTAGGATGGAAAAACTGTGAAAAGATACTGCGGTTTATAAAAAGGCAACACTTAATATCTTCAAAAAGCCACATAAAACTAAATAATAATGTGTAATAATATCACAGCACTGTTGCAGTTGTGCCTGCAGTAATTTTAATGTGTTTATTGTACAGAGACTGATTCAGCTGTGGTCTACTCAGCAGTGAGAACTGAAGACGTCCGTTATGGACAAACCACCATCAGAACAAGGAGGCCCAGGTACAGCTGCTCTTTATCTTTGACTGTGGAAAGAGACAAGCTAGCTGCTCACTGTTCACAGCCATCGTGCTAAGCTAAGCTAACCACACCATTACTCAAGCTCAGACCTGTGGAGGATAAGACACATCAAGCTGTATAGGGCAGAGCAGGAGAACAGGGAGACACTTAGAAAATCCAAAATTTCAAAATAAAAAGCTAAGTGCAGGAAAAACTCTGAAACACTGCTGATGTCATTTTAAAATGGAACAAAACTGAAAGGAAAAAACAAATTTCTGCCAACCTGATTTTTTTAAGTGTTTAAAATTAACTTTTTTTTAAATTAAAAATAAAAAGAGAAATAAGAGAAATAAAGTCACAAATAAAGTGATAAAGTCATAAGATTTGAACTAAAAAATATTAACTGCTGTGAGTGAGCAAGATGTCAAACAAGACAAATATCAGAATATTTGAATATTTGGGTGAAGTCCCAGTTATCAGCAGACCATCCAGGTACACAGTGCACTACATGTAGCCATACTAATCAGAAGGTCGGTGGTTCGATCCCAGGCTGCCTCCTGGCTGCATGCCAAATATCCTTGGGCAAGATACTAACCCCATGTTTGGGGTTAGTATCTTCAAAGCTTTTCTTCTCTTGAACAAGAGAAGAAAAGCTTTGAAGAAACCTCAGATAATGATGTAGAAACCCTTTGTGTCTCATGTGATGAAGGATGTGTTATAATTTATGAAAGAGGATGACAGAGGTCAGAGGGAGGAAAATATGAGCTTTATTAGCTGGAAGTCAAACTCAGTCAGTGAAACCAGGAACAGCGAGACATAACTGAAGTAAAACAGGGAACAGACGAGGCGGAGGGAGGACAGACAGGGAACACAGAGAGAACTTTGACAAACTCAAAGTAAGAACTGAAGCTGAGAGAAACACTAAACCCACACTAGAAGAAACCACATGTACAAAGTTAAAGATCAGCACAGATCTGTGGGCTCCAGGTTTGAAGAAGCAGTTAAAGTGTGAGCACCGTGGAAGCTCTGTGATTTGTATCTGAGCTGGTTCCCAGTAAAGTCTGAACTGGGACAGTGTGTGATGCAGAGAGATGGAGATTGGAGGTCTTGATTGAACTACAAAGCTTGTAATCATGTTTCCTGTTGTTTGAACTGTATGTGTTTGTGTTCAGACTTTAAACCAGAGCCAGACGTCGTCTACTCTTCACTGAAGTAGTCCACCAGTCCAACCACTGACATCCAGCTGCTGGTCTTTAACTGGTCCCCCCAGCACCTCAGACCAGAGGACATCCACATGTTACAGATTTTACATGTTACAGATGTTTTATGTCTTTTTAGCACTGAATTAGACTCTGATGACCCAGAACTACTTACTGGAAGTCAGTTCATTGACTTGATGTTTGTTGGCTTTTGTTCCCACAGCAGTGAGCAGGATTAATAAACTACAAATACAAAATTTAACTTGTTCCTGTTTGGTTGTGGCTAAATGACACACACCTCTCTTCACTGATGAAAACAAAGAATAAATACTAAACCACCTCAACCTAAAAACAGCCAGAGCATCTATCACTTCTACCTCTTCTTAAAGTCAAAGAGTTCTTTTACTGATGGCATGAAGTTGGCTTTAATGTTAGTTGTAAGGTCTTGGGGTTGTTACAGCTTCACCTTGATCACAAACTACGCCACCGTCAAACTAAAACATAACATAAAATTCAATGAAATAGTAAGACGAGTGAGATAAAGACATAAAATGATCTATATAACATACAAACATACCTCGCTGGCTGAGCCATGCTTTGAGGCAGAAATGAGCACTTTACAGATACTTTTAAGAAACAACTTTCTCTGAATTAAATTGGCTTCTCTTGCTTCAACTTGCCATGGGCGTGCATCTCAACAAGTGCACCAGTGGAACCAACATGCAGTACAATAGTTCCTACATGAGAATTTTCACAATAAATGACCTAATGGCATATAAAATATGCATAGTGCAAAACAAAATACATTAACTGAAAGTAAGGCAGTAAAAGCATCATTCAGTGTCTTTAAACCACACAGAGAAGCTTCAGTGCAGGATGTTTGTGTTTGTGACTGAAACTTTTAGAACTTTAAAGTTCTAGAAAAGCTTATAAGTGAAAAACTGAAATATTTTTTGGATAAAATTTCAGTTCTTTCCCAACATCAGTCGGGATTCAGAAAAAATCACAGCACATTACCTGCTGGTATTAATGTGTTTAATGTGATTTTTGATTCAAAGGACTGCAAAAAATATGTGCTGCTCTTTTTCTTGACTTCTCAAAGGCGTTTGATACAGTTGACCACGTCCATGTCATTTCAGTAAATAGACTAAACAGTATTGGTCTATTTCTAAATGCTATAAGTTGGTTATCAAATAATTGTCAGCAAGAACACAGTGTGTCCATGCTACTGGGTCTTCTTCCACTTTTCTCCCAGTATACAAAGGAGTTCCACAGGGCCATTGCTCTTTTCTCTTTACATAATGTCGTGGAATTTTTCTGATGAATAAAATCTGCAACACGAAAGAGCTGTGGTCAAGCTATTTATTACTGCATGCAGGAGAGCAAAAATGCACAACAAAGCATCACAGGTCTAAGTTATGAGCACTGTCCCCTTGGGGCATCTCCGTTCCTTTTTTAAACCCTCACACAAAGCTCTCCGTATCTTCCCAGTTACAATAGATTTCTGTCTCACGGGTTGCTAGACGGCAGAGAGCAACTCCCACAATCTTTTCCCAGAAGCTGGTCCTCTTGGAAGTATTGTCCATCTAACAGTTAGTAGATAACACAGTGAAACATTGTTAAGCAAAGTTAAGCAGTTTTCACAAGGTCAGGTTGACACTAGGGATGGGTATCGTTTAGGTTTTATCCGATACCGGTGCCAAACCGGTACTTTTGAAACAGTGCTCAAACTGGTGCTTAAAGAATGGAAAACACAAACTTTGTCCCAAAACTTCTCCTGTTTAGCTGTTTTTTTGTAAAAAGATAACAATTTTGGCCTTTTCTGCAGCTATGGGGCATATATGGTATCACTCTTGGCTGGAAGCAGTGCTTAAACAATGGAAAATACACCAATTTTGTCTAAAAACCTCTCATGTTTAACTGTTTTCCACTTTTTCTTTGGTCATTTTAGCCTTTTTGGCCAGGGTGAAGGGAGTATCTGCCATCAAACAAGAAGACAGCCGCATGTAGCTATGATGATGTTTGCTAGTTCACCTTACATGCATTAATGTAATAACGTGGTTAGCCTACTCAATGTAAATTACACACAAACAACATTAAGCTACTCACGCAGAGAAGAACGGCTGCTGCTGCATCATCATCCTCATCATTTCTGCTACACTGGCAGGGCTAGGGGCCAGGACTCTCCTCTTCGGGTTTTTGGGGGATGTTGCTAACTCCGGGTCCGATAACAGGCACCACACCCTCAGTAGATGTGCTCGGTGTGAGGTCTCGCAGCAAGCTATCAAATACGGTGCATTTCTCGGCTTTTAACAAAATGCTATACATCGCCAGGTGTTTCATCAGATTTGAGGTGTTACCTCCTTTGACAGCATCACAGTATCACCTTAAAGCACTTGTTGCAGACTGCTGAGTTTGTATCTTTTGCTGTGAAGTACAGCCAGACTTTTGACCACTTCGCCTTGGGTATTTTTAATCTGTAGCTCTGCTCTAAAAGAACGTACGTACCTGGGCCCGCCTACTATGCTTGGAAAGGTAAAATGATTGGCTAGAATCTGAAGTGTATGACATCTCAGGAAAACAAAGCACCGAAATGTGTACTGCTTTTTGTACTGCCAATATGGCACCGGATACCGGTACCCATCCCTAGCTGACACATACACATACTTCATCTAAGGTAACAAATGTTATACTACTTCATACAGTGAGATGCCAAATGAGGAAAACAGCAAACACAACTCTCCTGCTGCTCCCGAGCAGACTACAATCATTGCACTAGACATGCTTCAACATGTTTAAGACACACCTTTATTCTCAGTGGAGTCGTTACCTGTGTGCACTCTAAAGGTCTCTCCTTTTCATTGTTAGGAGAAGAAAACTTAAACGAGTCACACATGTGAATTACAAAGACTGTTTCACTGTGACTGCAGAAAGTTTCATTTACTGTCTTAGATTTAAGATTTAAGATGTGCACATACAGAGGTCACTTTATAATCTTGCAGCTCTCACAGAGTCTAAGTCCTCAGAGTCCTCTGCACAGTGCTCAGGGATTTCCTTATCTTTCATGTTGTCCATCTGTTTGAATTCAAGCATCATCATCAATAACTGAGTGTCTGACAGCCTCAAACAACCAGAGCCTGAAAATAATAAGCCTCTATGAGTATATTTAAAATTGTCATTTACTTTATTTTCTGAGTTTTATTATTTTGTCTTTTCTTAAATTAGTTTTCAAAGCTGTAAAGTCGAGTGCAGGGGTGTCAAACACAAGGCCCGGGGGCCAGAATTGGCCTGGCAAAGACTCCCAATCAGCCCAATGCAAGTTTTTTGGAGATTGTGACGGAGGTGTTGAACTTTTAGCTGTGTTTACAGATTTTCCTGTTGATGAAGACCTCTGCCATGGCCACTCATACTAAACCAAATGAATGAAATATATATTTTTTACGGTCAGGAAAACTTACAGTAGCTTTAAAATCTTGGTAAAGAGAATAAGTTTGCTCCTCTGTGCTATAAATATGTTAAACTGAATTTCCTATAAAATAAAATGATGGCAGTCGTGAAAAGTTTCTTATTTAAATCCCGTTCTCAACTCTTGGCTTGGATATTTATTTATTTCCATCCTTGTTCCATCCCTCAGGTCCACAGAGATGAGGACCTGAGGGATGAGAAAATGTGAATAAGGACTCAAAGTGTGTGCAGAGAGCCGTCGTGCACTTGATAACATGACAACAGGACGGCCCAGAGACCGACACAAAGCTGTGACTGTTTATCTGCACGTCTCAAACACTCCTCCATTTGTCTGCAGGCTGAGTGATCTGACTGAGCTCAGCCTTCATTTTCTACAGGGAGACGCTCAGAGAGGCTTTCACTTTCAATTCACAGGAACAGCTTTGCTTCTGTTTTGCATGCAGGTGCTGCACAGAGCACATCCTGTTTAGTCTGACTGCAGCTCAGAAAAAAGGCTGGATCAGCTGATTCAACAGGTCAGCAGTTTGCATAATTTTCATCTATACAAACACCAAACAAAGTCCTGTACACAGTGTGTTTGGTGCACTGAGTGTGGGATATCTGTGAAGGTTCTCAGTCATCCAGGTCATCGTAGTATTTGGACCTTAGAAAGAAAAGCGTCTAGACTTCTTAAAGTTCCTTGAAGTTAAAGTGAAAGGGTCAGACCCATACGAGCATACAGAGTGGAGTCAGATCCCTGCAACAAGCCCAGGTCCAATTTACTTTGGTGATTTGGACTATTCCACTTCACAGCTGTTAGATTTTTTTCCTTTATCTCCTGTACAGGCCAACACAATCTATTTGTCATTTCAGGTTGTAGTATTACACAACATTTTCAGATCTAATAGAAATAAAATGAGTGTTTCGTAATTCCTTCAATATATTGTCTTTATTTATAACTGGCATTATTGTTTCATTCTATTATAGAATCTTACAAGAAAGAGGCAACATTGTATTCCATTGTGCTTTATCAGCTGCTTCGGTGAAAAACAAATCAACAATGCAAAAACAGAAGAACCAGGACATATCCTGGTCAAAAATGACTCCAAAGTTCCTCACAGCGTTACTGGAGGCCAAGGTAATGCCATCCAGAGTAAGAATCTGAATCTTCTCAGTGGTGTTTTAAGAATATGGTGTGTTCTATTGTAGATGGTCAATTATATTTCAACCCGTTTTCTTTTTTCTTTTGTGACAAAACTTGTGATGTCCTGATGTTTTTTTTGTTGTTAATAAAAGTGTTGTTAAAAATAAAATAAAAATCTCCCTTTATTCTTTTCTTTTTTCTTTCCTATCCCCCAGTCTGTCCAGTTTGTAACAACTTTAAATAAATAAATAAAATTAAGATCAATCAAGTGGACCAAAATAGCAACTAGGCCTTCAGACAACAATTCTGATTGCTAAAGTACCAAACATGACAGGCAAAAAAAACCCAACCAAACAACAACAATAATAACAAAACAACCCACAATTAAAGATGGATTAAAAAACTAAACAAAAGTAATGTCAGATTTGAAGATTTTTATACAAACCGTTTTCTGTACGTAAGGTGGAAAAAGTCAAATGAAGGTAATAAATAAAATCATACCAACATAAAATAGCTCTATTTAATTTGCCAAGCTCCAACACAAAAACACTCACTGACTCTGAGATCAGAAATTCATGTATGTTTGTAACACAGTTTGACTTTGTGTCACGAAATCTCATGAACAGCCTGAAGATGAATAAACTGTAGTTCAGAGTCACTGACAGACAGCACAG